ATTGGGATGAACACGTGTTATATCATCGTTCTACTGTCTTTTTGCAGACACTGACTTGAAGAAGCAGTCAGCTGCCAGGTATCAAGTTTGAAGGAGTATATTGGGAAAATGTTTCTAAGCAACTGACACAGATGAAATGAAAAACAAGGATATCAAAGTCAGAGAAAACTCAGAGAAAATTCATTTAGACATTTGTTAAGGTTTTTGTTTTATTTAAATAGAGGGGATCAATTCTCTTTTCTTTTTAAGGAATATAATTATATGATATAAATAAACTCAAGAGAAGCTCCCAACGGGGGCAAGCTAAGCTTTACTTTGTGTAATATTGGTAAGTTGAATTCACAAAGGCTTTTACAACCAACATTATTAGTACAGCTGAAAAAATTTTCTAGGTCAAATTTCTAGTAGGTATCTAAGGTATAACCTATTTTACATTTTAAGAGGGAACAGTGTCTTTCAATAATGTTTCAAAAAGACTATAAGCCAATAAGTAGTTTGACGATGTTTTTAATGAAAAGTTTTTGTACTAAATGTTACATTACAGTTTTGGCGACTAGGTTTGATTTATCTGTCCTACGTTGATATCAAATTAGCCAAAATAGTTAAAACTCACACTGCTTTCAAAATTTCATTTCCTAAACCCCCATTTTTTCTTTCCTGATTTCATGGTCTGGAGTACTAGAAAAGTACTAATTTTTCCTGCATGAGCTCTTGAATTTAAACATTATGTTTGCATAACATTTAAATGCCAATCAATCTTTACCTGGCTTTATCTGGATCTTTATGGTCTAAGCTTGTTGAAGTTAAGATCTGATTCTTTTTGTTCATACTAGGACAAGAGCAGAATGGAAGTTGAAATCTAAAGTAGCCCACCACTTTAAGCTAGTCATTAGTTTCACCTTGCACTAGCAGACATTAAATAGAGCTGCTAATAGCGGGGGGAAAAAAAACTTCACCTCTTTTCAAGTCTTTGCTTATCTTCTCCATTGGGCAATACCAATTAATGAGAAAATACCCATTATTATGACATTCCTGCAAGAAAAGAATCCATGGGGAAAACATGGAGAATCAATAGTTGACTACAGATGGAAACTGCTTTATTACATTCTGCTTAGATAGAAAATTTTTAAGATTGTTTTTTATAATGTCACGTTTGTGAAAATGAAAACTTGCTAGTCCTAATATCATAACAATACTTTTGAGGGAGGGGTTTGGACTAAGATTCAATTTCTTTTATGAGGGTTCCTATTTGGGATGTTCATTTCACTGAATGTGAAATGGAAACGCAAATAGGGAAGTAAACTGACATTTATTTATTTACTGTTTCCTTTTGGTTTTAAGAGTAGGAAATTTGCCCTCACTTCTGTGACCCAAATTCCCTTTCCTAATTCTAAAGTAAAGCATTCTCGTACCCATGCTGACTGTCCTCAAATATTTGGCTTGAGGCTCTGTGGGCCAACAGGAGGTTAGATTTCAATGAAAAGAGAGGAGATGTAAATTTGAGTTAGTTTCTTTTAGGATTCTGTGCTGGAAAAGCCCCTTAACACATTAGTTTCATTATAGCAACAGAGCCAATTCCTTCTGCACAGAAATCCTTGTTTTGTTCTTCTAGACTGAGCCAAGTTATACTGTGACTCACTCATTGTCA